CCATTCCTTTTGGAATTTGTCTCAGGATGACGAAAAAAATTGAGAAAAAAATGATTTTCTTCAAATAAAGAGGGAAATCGGAAAAATTCGTTCAAACAACGTAACTAATTTGACGCCAAACGATGTACCTTATCTTTCCTTATTTCGTTCAGAAGCCAAGTGTAGAGAGAACTGTACAATTTCTTTTAAATTATGTCCTTTCATATAAAAATTTTTTGAAGGTTCTCGAAATAATCAATTTTAAAATTAAATATTTTCCCGGCGCCTCCAACGTTTTTAATGAAAATAAAATTTGATTAGTTTGGTCCGAAAGAGGTCCATTTTTGTCTGAAATTGTCTCAGGATCACGAGAACAATGGAGAAAAAATTTATCTCCCTCGAATGAAAGGGGAAAATCCGAAAATTCGTCCAAGAAGACGTCCTTAGTTTGACACCAAACATTAGATTTTTCCTCATTCCGTTCTGAAACCAAGTTGTCAAAAGAAATACACAATTTCTTCTAAAATAAATTATTTCATATTAAAATTTTTTGAAGATTCTTGAAATAACCATTTTTAAATGTAAATATTAATCCCGGCGCTTCCACTATTTTTGAATAAAAATAAATTTCGTCAAATCCATCCGGAAGAGGTCCATTCATTTTGGAATTTGTCTCAGGATTATGAAAAAAATTGAGAAAAATTTGATTTTCTTCAAACAAAAAGGGAAATCGAAAAAATTCGTTCAAACAAGAAATCAATTTGACGCCAAACAATATATCTTTCCTTAGTCCATTCAGAAGCCAAGTGCAGAGAGAAATAAACAATTTCTTTAAATTATATCCTTTCATCTAAAAATTTTTTGAAGATTTTTGAAATAATCATTTTCAAAATTAAATATTTTCCCGGCGCCTCCACCATTGTTAATGAATGTCAAATTTGATTAGTTTGGTCCGAAAGAGGTCCATTTTTATCTGAAATTGTCTCAGGATTTCGAGAATAATGGACAAAAAATTTATCTCCCTCGAATGAAAGGGGAAAATCGGAAAACTCGTAGAAGAAGACGTCCTTAGTTTGACGCCAAACATTAGATCTTTCCTCATTCCGTTCTGAAACCAAGTTGTGAAAAGAAATACACAATTTCTTCTAAAATAAAATATTTCATATTAAGATTCTTTGAAGATTCTTGAAATAACCATTTCTAAATGTAAATATTAATCTTGGCGCCTCCACCATTTTTGAATAAAAATAAATTTCGTCAAATCCATCCGGAAGAGGTCCATTCCTTTTGGAATTTGTCTCAGGATGACGAAAAAAATTGAGAAAAAAATGATTTTCTTCAAATAAAGAGGGAAATCGGAAAAATTCGTTCAAACAACGTAACTAATTTGACGCCAAACGATGTATCTTTCCTTATTTCGTTCAGAAGCCAAGTGTAGAGAGAACTGTACAATTTCTTTTAAATTATGTCCTTTCATATAAAAATTTTTTGAAGGTTCTCGAAATAATCAATTTTAAAATTAAATATTTTCCCGGCGCCTCCAACATTTTTAATGAAAATAAAATTTGATTAGTTTGGTCCGAAAGAGGTCCATTTTTATCTGAAATTGTCCCAGGATCACTAGAATAATGGAGAAAAACCAAAACCAACCAAGTTGTGAAAAGAAATACACAATTTCTTCTAAAATAAATTATTTCATATAAAAATTCTTTTAAGTTTCTCGAAATAATCATTTTTAAAAATAAATATTAATCCTGGCGTCTCCACCATTTTTGAATCAAAAATAAATTTCATCAACTCTACCCGGAAGAGGTCCATTCCTTTTGGAATTTGTCTCAGGATCACGAAAAAAATTGAGAAAAATTGATTTTCTTCAAATAAAAACGAAAATCTGAAAAATTCGTTCAAACAACGAAATTAGTTTCACGCCAAACGATGTATCTTTCCTTATTTCGTTCAGAAGCCGAGTGAAGAGAGAAATGTACTATTTCTTTTAAATTATATCCTTTGATCTAAAAATATTTTCAGATTCTCGAAATACTCGTTTTCAAAATTAAATATTTTCCCGGCGTCTCCACCATTATTGAATAAAAGTAAAATTTGATCAATTAGGTCCGAAAGAGGTCCATTCTTATCTGAAATTGTCTCAGGATCACGAGAATAATGGAGAAAAAATTTATCTCCTTCGAATGAAAGGGAAAATCGGAGAATTCATCCAAAAAACTTCTTTAATTTGACTCCAAACTTTGGATCTTTCCTCATTCACTTGTGAAACCATACAAAAGTTCCTTGAAGATTCTCGAAATAATAATTTTTTAAATTAAATATAATCCCGGTGCCTCCAACATTTTTGAATAAAAAAAAAATGAAATCAATTCGTTCCGATGGAGTTCCGTTCCTGTTGGAAATTGTTTCAGGATCACAATAAAAATAAGAAAAAAACAATATTCTTCAAATAAAAAGAAAATCGGTAAAATTCGTCCAAAAACATCATTAACTTATTTCCTTATTAGATCTACGTTTTTCTGTAGATTCTATATAAAAATTCTTCCAAGATTCTCGAAATAATGTTTTTTAATTAAATATCATTCCGGTGTCTCCACCATTTTCGGATCAAAATATTGGAAATCGTCTCAGGATCGCGATAATATTAAAAAAAAATAATTTATTCAGATTTTTCCAGGTCTTTTAAAACATTTTCCAGATTCCCTCAGGTCTTGCAAACTTTTCCAAACCCTTTCAAAATATTCCAAATTCTCTCAGATCCTCTCAAAACATCTCAGACTCTCTCAAAATCTCTCAAGCCCTCTCAGATTTTTTCAGATTCTTTCAGATTTTCTCTGAGTTTTCCACATTTTGCAAGATTCTCACATATTCTTCCAGATTCTACTAGCTTATTTCAGATTTTTTTTCAGATCCTTTCAGAATATTCCGGGTTCTTTCAGATCGCCCAAAATTGTCTCCAATTGTATAAAATTTTCTAAGAATCTCTGAATATCTCAGATTTTTTCAGATTATTAGATTCTCTCAGACTCTCTCAGAACCTCTCCGAATATCTCAAACCCTCTGAGACTTTTTTTTTTATTAAATATCATTCCGGCGTGGGCACTATTTTCGGATCAAAATAAAATTTGATCAAATCTATCCAAAAGGGGTCAATTCTTGTTGGAAATTGTCTCAGGATCGCGAAAATAAGGAAGAGGGAGAGAAATTTTTTTATTCGTAATAAAAAGAAAAATTGGACAAAACCACGTCATTAGTTTGAGACCAAACCAAGAATTCTTCCTCATTTCACTCGAAAACCAAGCTGTGGAAAGAAATATACAATTTCTTCCGAAAAACGAAAAAGTTCTTCGAACTTTCCCGAAATAATGATTTTTAAAATTAAATATTATCCCGGCGCCTCCACCATTTTTGAATGAAAATAAAATTGATAAAATCGATCCAAAAGAAAAAAATGTTGTGGAAATTGGCCTTCTTCAAATAAAATCGTAAAATATTATGTATTTCGAAAATATATTCCCTGAAAATTCTGAAAACAATTAACTTTAAAAGCAGATATTTTCTTGGTCAAATCTGGTTAAATCGATTCGAAAGAGGTTCATTGTTGTTGGAAGATTTTCTCAAGAACATAAGAAATCAGTTCCAGAGAGCGGAAAATTTTGGCCGTCACATGTTTGCATAAGATCGTAGTGTCAGTTCTAATCATAAGATTCCAATGTTTGTCATAGGTTACAGAATGGAAAAAACGTGATAATTTAGAATAATATAGAACACTCTACTCTTAATCAGCATATTCACAGGTTTTTATATCTTCATGTCAGTTTATCTTGCAGAGTAAACATAAATTAGATATAAATAGCGCATATCTTCCTTTAATCAAAATTTAATTTTATTATTCAAATTCAAGAATGTCATAATAGATTTTAAATAAAATTACAGTGTCTACCAAATGACATTGTTTTTATAAAATTCAAAAATCTCGGGAAGGTGTTACGTGGCTCTCGACCGCGACTAGGCTCAACCGGGAAGGCTGTGGGTGATGGTACAAAAAAAAATAAAGATTGGAGCCTACAATTAATTAAATTTATTTAGAACGGGGGAGGTGAGTGACTGTGTGACTGAGTATAAACTATCGATCTAAATATAAAAAAAACTTAAATAAATTACTATTCTAACCTTATGAGTAGTTCGCGTCCGTACCGCAACAGTGCCGTTCCTGGCGGTGGCGAAGATGCCGAACGCGAATATACTTAAATAATAAAAAAATACAAGAAAATAAAATAATACCTAATACCCTATAACTAACGCCTCTCCTTCTGTCCGGAGTCCAGCACGGCGTCCTCACTTAGAAATTGGGGTGGGGCGGGGCGGCTAGTTGACCTTCGTCCAAACTTCACACAGAAAAAAACTTTTCCACGCCAAGAGCGCAAAAAGATGGCAACACGTAGAAAAGAGGAGGGAAAAAAAACCCAACGGTAAAAGTAAAGCGAAGAAGAAAAAAAAGAAAAAAAGAAAAAGGCCTGAAAAGAAGATTAACTAAATTTCAATCCAGAACCCAATCCAGTAATTACCTCTGATGGTGTGCGGCCTTAAAGTAAATTTTCGGGGGTCTCAAAAACACAGGACACACGTCCTCGTTCCCAAATGCGGTGGCCTCAAATCGTCTCTAACGCAATTTGGAGAAGAGTAATGCCACAACTGGCTAAAATAAGGGCTCTACCTCCAAAAATGGCCCCTTCGCACTGGATACCCTGAAAACACTTGCACCCGTTCCCAACGACTCGAAAAATCAAAGTGGAGTCCCTCCTGGTTTTTTTTTTCCTTTCTGTGGCATGCGCGGTCTGAAATACCCAAATTGATTGAGGGAGGGGAAAATATCGATACCCCGAATCAATGAGAGCTGTCAACTAACCTCACAAACTCATAAATAAACAAAATCAACCAAAAGCGTATCAAAGGTTTTAGGAATTAATGTGGATACAACAGACTGGTTTAAAATATAAAAAAAAACACATGTGTAATTATTTTACCATAACTGTATTTTCAATAAATTTATTTTTAATTTTTTTATGTACCCTATAAACGTATTTAAAATTTTATGTATGATAATTCAAGTTTAAAAATAATTACCCATGAAAAAAAATTCGTCGCTATAAGTTCACACCACTGGCGCATAATTTGGCAATTGCTTATGCAAACAGTCCACCAGCTGGAAGGCCGTGTCTTCAGCTGTATCCTTCTTCACGGCGCATTTGGCAACAATCTTCTCGCTTTGTTCCTCACCTTCACTTGCTGCCACCACCGTGGGTTTAATCTTCTCGATCTTCAAATCCCCGTTATCGTCAATGAACTCCAGCTTCTTCAAAACGCAAAGAACGTGTTTCTTCGTTTTGGCATCATCAGGGAAATTGGCAACGTCGACCTTGTTTACTTCTTCTTGAGTTATCCCTGATTCTTGTCGACATGGCGCGCTGTATTTCTCCAATTTTTCTTTTTGTTGGTCGGTGAGAGCCTTCAAGATTTCAATTACGTGTTGCTAAGTAAAAGAAAAGACTTACCGCGACCGAAGATAAAAGAATGGCGATAAGAAAGTAGTAGTAGAAGGTCATTTTGACTGCACTCTGTTGCAAACACGACCGCGATTTATATATACCGGGAGTTATCGCATGTTTCTTTACAGAGGTCTCGGTGAACAAAAATTTCGTTTCGATGCGATTACACTCATTAATGATTACAATTTGCTCTTTTTGCTTTAGATACAAAATCGCTCATTATGATATTCCCGAAGATATCTTCTTATAAAGTTAATAAAGTTAATAAAGTTGCCGAGTAAAGGGATCTCCGCCAACAGGTTGAGGCTTTCGCGCCCTTTCTCCACCCTAATGCCTCTGTCTCCCTAAACACTCTCTTTATACACCCCAAACCGTTTTATTGCAATTTCTGTTTACTCGTTTCTATTTGTGTAGGCCGTTTTATTGCCACTCGACCGATTTATTCGGATTAGCTTAAAATACGATCTCCCTTTTCTTATCGACTGATTTGAATGGAACGTGCCTTGGTGCTGTTTTAGGTGACAGGCGAGCCAGGGAGCTAACTGCCACGGAGATGCCGCAGTTGGATGACCCGGTCGTGCCCGATATTCCCAAAACCGATCCCTGTTATCGTTTCATATACGGGAACATGGAGAAACACGAGTTTTATAGTCCCGGATTTGAAGATAAACCCACTTACACGAACAACACCAATTGTGTCCGAATCCTGCAAGGTGAGTGAGCTTTTTGTATTACTGTTATTATTAATTTCAGGATAACATGCTTATTTCTAAATAAAGCACTTGAGTGCTAAATGTTTTTATAACTTGAACACGGTAAAAGTTTGTCTATGATCGGCTAAAGTTATTTTGTTCGGCGAAAATGTCGTTCGACTTCATAAAAGGTAACTGGAGACCGTTAAAATTTTTAAGTTTGAAGTGTTGTTTAGAAAACTGCACCTTAGCACATTATTAATTTTTAAGTGTAAGTTAAGTGTTTGAAAGTCTTCATTTTTTTTTTTTGTAAAATCGTGTCAGATTTACAAAATATTTTATCTGATTTTTCTATGAAAAGAAACGAGCTTGATTGAGTTTAATAATAGAACTGGTGTAATTTATGTTTACCAGATTGGTAGTCATTACAAATATCACTGTCAAATAACTAACGAAATAAACGTCAAAAGAACGATTATTATTTTTCCTACGCAGAACGAGATTTATTCAGTGATAAATTCTAAGGACTAGTTTGGACGTTTTTTTGTCTTCAGGTTCACATACTGCTAAAATACCGTTTTATTGTGAAAATTTAACCATATAAATATTACAATCTGACATTTGTCTTACCAACCACAGTAAAATTCACCAAAATAAAAAATCCAATTATATTAAAAAAAAAATCAGATTCTTCCAGATTTTCAGATTGTTTTCAAATTTTTGTTTCAAGACATTTCCACAAATTTCCAGATCTCTTTCAGATCTTTTCAGATTGTTCTAAATTCTCTCAAGTTCTCGCAAATTGTCTCAGTTTCTTTCAGATCTTGCCCGATATTTCCAGATATTTTCCAGATCTCTTCGGATCCCTTTTCACTTTTAAAGACACTTTCAAATTCGTCCAAATTCTCTCAGATTCTTTCAGATTCTCTCAAATTGTGCCTGATTCTCCCAAATTCACTCAGATCCTTGCAGATTCTTTCACATTCTTGCAGAGTCGTTCAGATTCTTTCAGATTCTCTCAGATTCTCTCAGATTCTTTTAGATATTTTCAGAATCTTCCATATCGTTTCAGATAATTCCAGGTATTTTCAAACATTTCAGGACATTGCCAGAATTCTCCAAGTCTTTTCAGATTTTGCAAACCCTTCCAGACTCAGAATCTCTAAGATTCTCACAGATTTAATCAGACTCTCTCAGACTATCTTAGACTCCATCAGACTCTCTCAGGTTCTCCGAACTTCTCTCAAATTTTATCCAGTTCTCCCAAATTACTTTAGTTCTGTCCAAATCCGTCTAGATTTTTCCATAGTTTACCAGGATCCTCCAGGGCCCTTCAGGTCTCTTCAAACTCTTCCAGATTCTCTTAGATTGTGTCATATTATCTTAGATTCTCTCCGATTTTTTCAGTTTTTTTTTTCAGAATATTTCAGATTATTTCAGATTTTTTCAAATTCTTTCGGATTCTTTCAGACACTTGCAGATTTTTCAGCGCTTTTCAGAACATTTCAGAATATTTCCAGGATTCTTCAGATTTCTTCGATCTTTTCAGGTCTTGCAGAGTTTTCCCAGAAAAATTATTATAAAATCTCTCAGATTCTGTCAGATTGTCCCAGTTTTCTTCAGATTCTCTCAGATTCTCTTACACTTTCTCAGACTCTTTCAGATTCGCTTACGTTTTCCAACATTTTTTTTATTCTCTGATATTCTCTCAAATCCTGCCCGATCCTTCCAGAATTTTCCAGATTTTCCCAAATTCCGTTAGATTCCCTCATATTCTGTTAGACTCTTTCAGAAATTCTCTGACGCTCTTAGACTCACTCAAAATGTTTTAAATTCCATCAGCTTTTTCACACAGAGTCATTCAGAGTTTTTCAAAATCTATCAAACTCTTTCAGGTTCTTTCAAATTCTTTCAGATTCTTTCATATTCTTTCAGATTCTTTCAGATTCTTCCAGATAGCTTCAGATTTTTCGGGTCTTGCAGATTGTTCTAGACTCTCTCGCTAATTCTAGATTCTCTCAGATTCCGTAAGATCGTCTCAGATTCTCTAAAGTTCTCCTATTCTCCCAGATTTTCTTAAATCCTCTCAGATTCTCTTCCAGACTCAGATTCTTTCAGATTGTTTCAAATTGCCTCAGATCCTCTAAGATTCTTTCAGATTTAATTAGGTTGTCTCAGAGTTTCTCTAACTCAAGTAGGTTCTTTCAGATTCTTTCTGATTCTCTTGAATTTTTTCAGATTTTTTCAGATCTTGCCAGATACTTCCAGATTTTTCCAAAACCCTTCAGATCACATCAGGTTATTGCAGACTCCTACAGACTTGTGTAGATTCTACCACATTTCTCCAGATTCTCATATATTTCCCCAAATTTCGTCAGGCTCTCGCATATTCTCTCTGTATCTCTCATATTCACTCAGATTCTTGCAGGTTCTTTCAGATTCTCATATATTTTTCCAGATCTTTCAAGACATTTCCAGTATTTTCCAAATATTGTCAGATATTTCCAAGTTATGCAGAATTTTTCAAGTTATTCCAGATTCCCTTATTTTCACTCAAATTGTCTGAGATTTTGACAAATTCTTTCAGGTTCTTCCAGATTATTTTAGATTCTTCAAATTTGTTCAAATGTCTTCAGATTTCTTCGCATTTCTTCAGATCTCTTCAGATTTCTTCAGATTTCTTCAGTTTTTTCAGATTTCTTCAAATTCCTTCAGATTTCTTCAGATTTCTTCAGATAGCTGTAGATTTTTCAGATCATGCAGACTCTTCTAGACTCTTTCGGGTAATTCTAGATTTTCTCAGATTCCATAAGACTGTCTCAGATTCTCTAAGGTTCTCCTATTCTCCCAGATTTTCTCAAATTTTCTAATGTTTCCCAAATCCTCTCATACTCTTTTCTAGACTCACATTCTTTCAGATTGTCTCAAGTTGCCGCAGATTTCTTCAGATTTCTTCAGATTTCACCAGATTTTATCAGATTTCTTCAGGTTCTTCAGATTTCCTCAGATTTTTTCAGATTTCGTCAGATTTCATCAGATTTCCACAGATTTCTTCATATTTCTTCAGATTTCTTCAGATTTCTCCAGATTTCTCCAGATTTCTCCAGATTTCTCCAGATTTCTTCAGCTTTCTTCAGATTTCTTCAGGTTTCTTCAGATTTCTTAAGATTCTTCAGATTTCTTCAGATTCTCCGAAATTTTCTCAAATTCTCTTAAAGTCTATTAAATTCTCTCAGACTCTCTTCCAGACTCAGATTATTTCAGATTGTCTCAAACTGCCTCAGATCCTCTAAAATTCTCTCAGATTTAGTTAGGTTGTCTCAGAGTTTCTCTAACTCTCACAGGTTCTCTCAGATTCTTTCTGATTCTTTTGAATTTTTTCAGATCTTACCAGATATTTCCAGGACCCTTCAGATCACATTAGGTTATTGCAGACTCCTACAGACTTGTCCAGATTCTACCAGATTTCTTCAGATTCTGATAGATTCTCCCAAATTCTCTCAGGCTCTCTCATATTCTCTCTGTATCTCTCAGATTCACTCAGATTCTTAAAGGTTCTTTCAGATTCTCAGATATTTTTCCAGATCTTTCAAGACACTTCCAGTGTTTTTCCAAATACCTTCAGATCTTTCCAAGTTATGCAGAATCTTTCAAGTTATTCCAAATTCTCTTATTTTCACTCAAATTGTCTCAGATTTTCGCAGATTCTTTCAGGTTGTTCCAGATTATTTTAGATTCTTCAAATTTCTTTAAATTTCTTCAGATTTCTTCACATTTATTCAGATCTCTTCAGATTTCTTCATATTTCTTCAGATTTCTTCAGATTCCTACAGATTTCTTCAGATTTCTTCAGATTTCTTCAGATAACTTTAGATTTTTCGAGTCTTGCAGACTCTTCTAGACCCTGTCGTGTAATTCTAGATTCTCTCAGATTCCATAAGACTATCTCAGATTCTCTAAGGTTCTCCTATTCTCCCAGATTTTCTCAAATTTTCTTAAGTCTCCCAAATCCTCTCATACTCTCTTCCAGACTCACATTCTTTCAGATTGTCTCAAATTGCCTCAGATTTCTTCAGATTTCTTCAGATTTCTTCAGATTTCTTCGGATTTCTTCAGATTCGTTGAGATTTTTTCAGATTTCTTCAGATTCCTTCAGATTTCTTTAGATTTCTTCAGATTTCTTCAGATTCGTTGAGATTTTTTCAGATTTCTTCAGATTCCTTCAGATTTCTTTAGATTTCTTCAGATTTCTTCAGATAACTTTAGATTTTTCGAGTCTTGCAGACTCTTCTAGACCCTCGGGTAATTATAGATTCTCTCAGATTCCATAAGACTGTCTCAGATTCTTTAAGGTTGTCCTATTCTCCCAGATTTTCTCAAATTTTCTTAAGTCTCCCAAAGCCTCTCATACTCTCTTCCAGACTCACATTCTTTCAGATTGTCTCAGATTTCATCAGATTTCATCAGATTTCTTTAGATTTATTCAGATAACTTTAGATTTTTTGAGTCTTGCAGACTCTTCTAGACCCTTTCGGGTAATTCTAGATTCTCTCAGATTCCGTAAGACTGTCTCAGATTCTCTAAGGTTCTCCTATTCTCCCAGATTTTCTCAAATTTTCTTAAGTCTCCCAAATCCTCTCATACTCTCTTCCAGACTCACATTCTTTCAGATTGTCGCAAATTGCCTCAGATTTCTTCACATTTCTTCAGATTTCATCAGATTTCTTCAGATTTCTTCAGATTTCTTCAGATTTCTTCAGATTTCTTCAGATTTCTTCAGATTTCTTCAGATTTCTTCAGATAACTTTAGATTTTTCGTTTCTTGCAGACTCTTCTAGCCCCTTTCGGGTAATTCTAGATTCTCTCAGATTCCGTAAGACTGTCTCAGATTCTCTAAGGTTCTCCTATTCTCCCAGATTTTCTCAAATTTTCTTAAGTCTCCCAAATCCTCTCATACTCTCTTCCAGACTCACATTCTTTCAGATTTCGTCAGATTTCTTCAGATTTCTTCAAATATTTCC